GGCAGGTGCCACCTGGTGATTTAGCTAATCTTTCCAGATTAATTTGTGCAGAATTCAAATTAAACTAAAGGATCAATCTGGTTAATGTCAGGTTTGGTAAAATAGAAACAAATCTGAAGAAAATAAGCGTTTTATTACTTTTATTGTAGTGAATGCTGCTCACAGACCTACTACTATGATGGAGTGGGGGACATTTTTGGAGGATAAATAAATAACTGATGAACTCACTGGTTGGCTTGAGGAGCGTTTTCTAAGGAAATAGAAAACCAACACTGAAGTTTTGCTTCTTGGTTTGTTTTAAAAATCAGAGAAAAGAAAATAATGTTTAACACTTTCCTGTTAGAAGATGCTCTCTGTCCACATTCATGTCAGCAGGAAAACCAGGGCACACTTGGCGCCCTCTGGTGGACAGATGTTGACACTACAATTTGGATAACAAAAGTTATTTTAATCATTTTCAGTGTTTTTAGAAACAACTGTCTGGTTTATCTTCATCATTTTAGACTAATTTAAAGAGGCAGCCTTTGCTAATTAATCTAAATCCTTTGATTCGTTAAAAAGCCAAAAGTCCCAAATAATTCCTACAAAACGTGGCTGAGATTTCTGAAAGCTAAAGGAGCCTCTTTCATCATTTTTTACTGTATAACTATTGTGAATTTTGAGAGGAAGCTGATCTTGTTTTTCCAGGGAAGGATTGCGTGTGCGAACGTCCTCAGCGACCTCTACGCCATGGGCATCACGGAGTGCGACAACATGCTGATGCTGCTGAGCCTCAGTCAGAAGATGAACGAGAAGGTAGGTCGAGCTCAGCGCTCCTCCAACTGGGCGCCACGTTTTATTTCTCTAATTCCTTCATTTTTATTTTGGAAACGTTTCTTTTTATGCTTCAGTCTTTAAAAAAATCTGATTTGTAAATAAATTTAAAACTAAAGCAAACATCTTATTTATTTCTAAACAATTAAGTTTAGGATTTTTTTTATTTCATTCCATCCTTTGCAGTTAAATTATTAACTGGATTAATTTCTGAGCTTATTTTGCTTCTGCGTCCCCAGGACCGGGAGCGAGTGACGCCGCTGATGATCAGAGGCTTCAGGGACGCAGCAGAGGAGGGCGGGACATCGGTGACGGGGGGGCAGACGGTGATCAACCCCTGGATCATCGTTGGAGGCGTGGCCACAGTCGTCTGCCAACCTAACGAGTTCATCATGTGAGTCACAGAAGGTTTAACTTTTATTAAAGGAAACGTTTGCAGCACATTTCTGGAGCCGATTGCTGATTAATTGATGCATTTTCAGCCGTCACTGAAATGAACCCATTAAACTGGAGCTGAGCCAATATTTACTGATCCTGTAAACCCCGCCCACCATGAGAACCAGACAGATGTGCTGCTGTCGGTTTGGTGCTAGCATGCTAACGGTTAAAGCTAATGCAGGCTAATGGTTGATTCACTGCCGTCACATGTTCTCACAGCTATTGATCACTGATCGTGTCTAACTACCACAGTCCTGAGCTGAATCTCCAGCATTTCCCTAGCGAGCAGCGGCGTTTCACCAGCGAGCACAGGCGTTTCACCAGCGAGCACAGGCGTTTCACCAGCGAGCACAGGCGTTTCACCAGCGAGCAGCGGCGTTTCACCAGCGAGCAGCGGCGTTTCGCCAGCAAACACCGGCGTTTCACCAGCAAGCACAGCCGTTTCACCAGCGAGCACAGCCGTTTCGCCAGCGAGCACAGGCGTTTCACCAGCAAACACCGGCGTTTCACCAGCAAGCACAGGCGTTTCACCAGCAAGCACAGGCGTTTCACCAGCGAGCACAGGCGTTTCGCCAGCGAGCACAGCCGTTTCGCCAGCAAACACCGCCGTTTCACCAGCGAGCAGCGGCGTTTCGCCAGCAAACACCGGCGTTTCACCAGCGAGCACAGGCGTTTCACCAGCGAGCAGCGGCGTTTCACCAGCGAGCAGCGGCGTTTCACCAGCGAGCACAGGCGTTTCGCCAGCAAACACCGGCGTTTCGCCAGCGAGCGCAGGCGTTTCGCCAGCAAACACCGGCGTTTCGCCAGCAAACACCGGCGTTTCGCCAGCGAGCACAGGCGTTTCGCCAGCGAGCACAGGCATTTCGCCAGCAAACACCGGCGTTTCACCAGCGAGCACAGGCATTTCGCCAGCGAGCACAGGCGTTTCACCAGCAAACACCGGCGTTTCACCAGCAAGCACAGGCGTTTCGCCAGCGAGCACAGACGTTTCGCCAGCAAACACCGCCGTTTCACCAGCGAGCACAGGCGTTTCGCCAGCGAGCACAGGCGTTTCGCCAGCGAGCACAGGCGTTTCGCCAGCGAG